CCGCCCCCGGTTTGGCTATTACTGTTATCAGTTCTGTAGATTTTCTGGTCTGCGACTGCACATTTGCAAGAGCTTATCTTGGGAATTCACTTAGAACAGTTTCCGGGGTGTAGGTTATCACGAAACTTGCTAGAAAACGCTAAACTTCTTAAAAAGTAATTGTACCAGTTTTTACTCTCACTGGCAGCATCTGAGGATGTCAGTTGCTATATAACCAGGGTCACACCAATACTTGGGGTTCCCAGACTTAGGAAATTTGGCCAATCTGATGGGCGTGTTGAGGTATCTTGAGGTTTTAATTTTCACTTTTATTATCACTAATGAGTCAGAGCACCGTTTCCTGTGGTTATATGCCATTTGGATGTCTTTCGCTTGTTTTTCTGAAAGGCCAATTCATGTGTTTTGCCCAGTTATTTCTTGGGGTTCTGCCTTAACTCATTGATTAATAGCAGTTAATCGGACCATCTGGGTGTGTGCTTATCTTCCCACTTTTTATGTCTTTAACAATACGAAATTTTATCCGTTTGTATTAATCTTTCTGTATTATTTATCTCCTGCTTTGTGACCGATCACCTAAAACCTGGTGGCTTCAACAACAGCCTTTTATGACAGTTGGGACTTGGCTCACTGTGCAGTGAGGTCTCACCTGGGCTGCCTCCTCCCTGTGCAGGGAAGCTCTGCTTTGCAAATTGGCTGTCTGACAGATGGGGCAATAATGGGGTGACGGAGCCACAAGTCTTTCATCAACCAGCAGCTTAGCCTGGTCTTGTTCCCATAGAGGCTGGAGGAGAGTTCCAGAGAGTCAGGCCGAGGTGTACAAAGCTTCTGGAGGTGGAGGCTCCGAATTAGCACAGGGTCACTTCCACCACACTCTGCTGGCCACAAGTCCAGCCTGGATTCAGGGGGTGGGGGAATAGACCCTTCTCTGGCTGGAGGATCTGCAGCATCTCAGAAAAGAGAAGAACCTACAGGGAGGGGTGGGACGTTGGGGCCATGCTGGCAGTCCATCTCATTTTACAGTATGGTCTGTGCTTTCCTTCCATACTACAAGGGGCAGAAACTACAACCCGATAGCAGCTTCTAAAAGTTTTAAGGTTTTACCTTTCACATTTAGGTCTTTCATTCGTGTGTGTGTGTGTGTGTGTGTGTGTGTGTGTGTGTGTGTGTAATTCTTAAACAGAAAAAGAATTTGAGAATAGCAAGATAAATATGAATTAGAGGAAGAATGAAGTTTCAATAACCCCGACAGTGGGGGCGTTGATAATGGGGGAGGTTATGCTTGTGTAAGGGTCGGGGGTCTATGGGAAATTTATACCTTCTGCCCCATTTTGCCGTGAACCTAAAAGGACCCTGAGAAACAGTCTATTAGGAAAAATAAAAAAACCCCACCAAACCAAACTATGACAGCAGCTGAAAGAGCTGGTGAGCATTATTAGAACGTTTAGGAAGTGAGTGAGAGACAGCAACATACTAGGAGAGCATTGGGGAGCCATCGCATGTAATGATTGGGGGTGAAGGGTTGGTTAAGAACAATATCAAGTAGCATTTTCTAATGTTAAAGAAAGCATTGCGCCTACTATCTTACCATCTTATTAAAAATAGCCCTCAATTTTTTTATGTTGTTACCTTCACTTTCTTGACCATATTTATTAATTTTCTTGCATGTGACTATTCCAGTTGGCAGTTATGAATTGCATTTAATTTCCCCAATTTTTCAGTTTGCTTGACATGAAGTTTTATTTGAATGCAGTCTGTCAGGACTCATTGTCCTGAGACTGGGGCCAGAAGGAGTACAGAAGCTAGCGAGCAGCTTCTTAGAAAGTGCTTCTGACCAGAGGCAGGACTGTGGCCTGGCCAGGGCCTGGGCTTTGGACCAATGACTCTGGAGTAGAAGTAGAAGCAAGGCTTTGCTGTTGTAGGAGCTGGGCAATTTTGTGCAAATTATGTAACGTTTCTGAGCTTTACTTCTCCATTGTAAAATGGAGATAATTTTCACTTTATCTCTCTCTCAAGAGTATCGAATGAGAGAAAAACTATCACCTAGCATGGTGCATGGCCCATAAAATAAACATGAGCATATTTGAGAAGCAGGGTTTTCCCCTATTTTCTGTTAATCTCCAATTAAAAAGAAAAGATGACCTCTAGAAGTCTTTTGCAGAAGGAATTATAATTTTTTTTAATAAAGTTTTTTTTTAAAGAAATTTTATTGGGGAGCAGTGTGTTTTTCCAGGACCCATCAGCTCCCAGGCAGGTAGTTGTCTTCAATCTAGTTGTGGAGGGCGCAGCTCAGTGGCCCATGTGGGAATTGAACCAACAACCTTGATGTTATGAGCCTGCGCACTAACCACCTGAGCTAACCAGCCTCCCCCAGAAGGAATTATTTCTAACATTTAAGCTTGGCCTGTAGCTACTTCCCTGCTGCTGTTTTCTATGAAAACTCTTTTTACATCTTCTGGGTTCTCTGCCTGGAGTTTGACAATCAGTTAATGGCCCCTGGTTGGCTGACAGTGAACCTTTGAGACCCTTATGTTGAAACCTTGGCAGCCAGCCAGAGCTCGTGGAGCCCTGGGAGACACTGTCCAGGGTGTGTGTTCTTAATCTTAGCCTGAACTTTTGAATTGGGCAAGTTCGGACCAGAAGGATCTGAGGAAGGGACATTGCCTTAGGGAAGAAGGTGAAGCAGTGGGCTGTCCGAGGGAGAAGAGTCTGGGGGAGGGAGTCAACATCACAGCACCTGCTCTGTGCTGGAGTATAGAGTAGAAGAGAGAGGCCACCTGGAGGGTGTGTCAGGTTGGGGATGATGGGCCCCTTGGCAAAGGAGTTGGGCTGTGCCTCCTCCCAGATTGAATGGAGGAGAGCTCTGCAGCTGTATTGACCTTCGGAGGAATAAATGTCCTCTTAAGCCTTCACTTAAAATAAGGAACCAAGTCATCATTAAATCTTTCTTTCTAGGTCTTTCGGCAGCCCAACGGAAGTTTGCTCATTCACTCAGAGACTTCAAATTTGAGTTTATTGGCGATGCGGAGACGGATGATGAACGCTGCATAGGTAAGTAAAGATATGGTTTTGGTTTGCTCTCCTTTGCTTTGGTCACCACGTAATTATTCCTTTCTGTTGACAGATGCTTCCTTGCGTGAATTTTCTAATTTTTTGAAGAATCTGGAAGAACAGAGAGAAATTATGGTAAGTTGTGGGATGTACATTAATAAGTCCAATTGTAAGCAGGGGACATTTGTGTTTGGACGCTGGTTCTGGTAGAAGTTTTGATACATTTATCCATGGAAGAAGTGGTGCATAATACAATACTTACTGGAAGGAGCCCTGGGTGAGGTTTCAGGAGCCCAGACCTCTAGTTCTCAGTGGTGCTGACCGTGGTGAGATCTTAGACAAGTTGCTGGACCTTTAGACCAAGGCCCTGATTCTTTATCTGTAAAATAGTGGGTTGGACTGTCTCAGAGCGTTCTAGGTTTTCATTAGCAATGGAGCCCTTTTATTTAAATTGAGCCTCATGTAGAATCTTAATATATTATCAAGAAGGTAAAAGAAGAAAAACTTATGTAGAGGTATAAGGACAACAGGGCAGTGTTAAGAGTTAAATTTGTAGATTGCCAGGCTGTGTGGAGAGGGCCTGGAAGTCTTTAAAATCCCACTTTGCATTGAGGTTCATGATCCCAACAGTAATAATAATAGCTGTCTTCACTGGGTTCTCTCCAGGTGGGTGATGCTGTGTCGCGTGCATCACCTTATTTAACAAAAAAGCTCAGCAGTGAATTTTTAAGGTACTGAATGATACTTTCTTGCCTTCCTTAAAAACTTGCATCTCCCTCTTATTGACCGATGTTCATTTGTTCAACAAAGATTTATAGTAGAACTGGCAGTGGATTATGACACAGTAGTCTCACCATTTTATTTTTTCTTCAGGTTTTTAAAAAAGGACAGACTATATTTTCTACGTTCTTGAGAATGAGTATTATCTAGAATTACGTTCAAGTGTAAGTGTATGCGTGAGTTCAGATGGGGTGGTGGTAGTACTGGCCATGATAGCTAAGACAGTTCACCTCTTCTCTGTGCCCGGTACTGATCTAAACTGCTTACTGAATATCAAGTCATTTAATTCTCACATCGATTCTATGAAATAGACTCTGTTATTGCCCCCTATTTTACAAGTGAGAAAACTGAGGCTCAGCACCTTGCCCAAGATCACATGGCGGCTGAGAGGTAGAGCTGGCACATGGCAGCACCAGGCACTCCGAATCTCCCGCCATGCTGGCCAGCTCGTTAGATGTTGCTGCGATCGAGGTGGTGGCTGGTACGGATTTCTTACTGGTAGAAATGGAGTAGAGAAAGAAGTGGAAGGGAGGCACTGATTTTGATTTGAAAGTGACAGGGATATAAGACCTCTGAAAGCCTTAATACAGCTTGCACTATACCCTGAATTCTGAGGTAATTTGTATATATTGCAAATATTATAGAGGGCATGTGAACGTATTGTGATCCATTCGATTTTTCTGGCACAAAAGGACATACCCTCGTATTCAACTAATATTCACACGATCCTGTAGTCACTGGTTATTCAGCTCGATTAGGAAAGTCTAAATGTGATAGTGGATAAAAGTAGTGCCATGACATCACCTTTCCACTGCATGAAGTAGGTGTGGTTGTGTGGGTGTTAATGGAAGTGCATGTTCTAAGTTTATGTTAATAGTATCAACTTTTTTGTTCTCAACCCTCTTTGATATTTAGCTGTCCTCCCTGGGATCCTGAGCATTCAGTAAATGTGTATTTGATCGCCTTTTGTGTTCCGATTCCGTGCAGAATCTGAGCACGGAAGCAAACAAAGCAAAGTCCCTGTCCTCAGGGAGGTTACATTCTCGAAAGGCTAGGTAATAAGAAACACTCAGGGCATTGCCAGGCACTGATAAGTGCCACAAAATGAAATAAAGAAGGGCAAGTAGCCAGGGAGTGGGAGTGGGGCAGGGTACTATTATATCTAGAGTGGTGAGGGAAGGCCTTTCCATAGAGAACTATATGAGCATCCTGGTATGTGGGGGAAGAGAGAGCCAGCAGATTGGCGCTGGAATTTAGTTCTACAGAAATACTGTGTGACCCCATCTGTCTTGATAGTCTACTTCTCCTTTTTGTTCCTTGAGGTGAATTGACGAGGTCACAAAACTAGAACATGGTCATAGCTCCAGGCTGCCTGATATGATAGCATGGCTCTCAGAGCAATTGTTTGTGGACTTACTGATTTAATCTTCAGCTATGACGGAGCGTCATAGGGTCTCTGTCTCAAGGAGGCCAAGGGTGACAGGGCTGTTTTTTCAGTGCAGGATAGAGGTGAGAATCAGATGTTGTCTGTTTAAGGCCATGAACCTCAGAGAGGAATGGGACAGTGTGTTACGACCCTTGGTGGGAACAGCAACACCTGCTGGATAGCAGGAAACCACCCTAGGCCATCAAGCAGCGGGGGGCAGCTATGACCAGCTATAGAATTAACAGGACACCTAATGCTTTTCCTAAACAAAAGACTTTTTAGTTTGGAAAATTTTAAGCATGCACAGAAGTAGACCTAAAAATATGATTAAACTACATGTACTCAACACCCAGTTTCCAAAACCGTTGCCACATAATCGGTCTTGTTTATGTTTTACCCCTTCTACACATCCCTCCATTATTTTGAAAGAAAGCCCAGTATTATCCATAAAACCTTAGCTTTTAGCTCTAGAAGATACGTCTTGTTTTGAACCACAGTATCCTTGTCACACCTGAAAACAAATAACATTTCCTTACGTCAGATTTAAATTTTTCTGATATTCATTCACACTTTGTCATTCCTTCCCCCACCCCCACCCAGTAACAGTTGGTTTGTTTGAATCTGGATCCAAACACAATTCGTTTGACTAAGACGCTTCTAAGTCTCTTTTAATCTACAGGTTTTTCTTCCTACTTTTCTTCCCTTGACAAAGAATTCCTGATTTTTTCTATTAGCTTTTAAAGACCGTTAAGACACAACTTTCTGAGTTATCAGTGAGTTATAATAATGAAGTTAATAAAAGTTAAAAAGTTTGGCATTTAACCCATATTGACATTATTTGGAGTTTCTGTCTAATCTTGATAGTCAGTGATTTCCTGCCCCCCAGTTTTTAACCATGTGAATTGTATGGACTCATTATGGCTAACTTTGTTTCTAAATAGCTTTGAACACTTAAAAAAAAAAACACCCAAAAAAACAAAACAAAAAAAACCTTGGATGCTTTCTTAGACACCAGCCTTAAGCGTTTGAATCAGAAAAGATCCCTCCCTCAAGAAACGCCCACTGTGATTCTGGAGAATAACTGGTAGGAAGGGAATTAAACTACATTATACTAAGTGTGATAACCAAGGAATAGAGTGTGGCTGCGTGGGGCCGGGAGCAGCGAGGCCTGTGCTTCTCAGGAGAGGCTTTCGAGAAGTGGTACTCAGCTGGCGTGTAGGGGACAGAGACAGGGAGCAGTACCTTTGCGTAGCCTAACAGGCTCATACCTCCCAGTCACAGTGACAAGGATGTGAGGAAGGTCTGCAGGCAGCTGGGTGCCAGTGCATTCGGAGAACTTTTAAAAACGACTTGTTTTACTTCAAGTTATTATAAACCAGCAGCACATAAAAAGCCACATCTTAAAAAAGGGATGCAAAACGAAAGCTGTAAAATAGAGGTAGGAATATTCTAAACTGGGTTCTCAGAATCCAATAAAATTGTAGTGGTCACGGTCTTCAAAAGCAGGTAGTATTTTTGGAAGTTCTAAATTCAGTGATGCGTACTCATAATTAAGACTGACTCATCAAAATGGTAAAACATTTTTATATAATCTGTGACTTAGAAGGCAAAGACCAATGCCAAATATATTTTTTTAAAGCTTTCCATTTCCTAAATAAATGTTGAAAAAGGATTTGGGGCTTTAAGGGATAAGGACATGAGATCCAGGAACAAATTCTTCCCTGTTGTCTTTGAGCTACCAGGTATATACCTATTCACATGCCTAATCTGTGTACCTACACAGGAGGTGAATGAATATATATATATAGATTCCAGCAAATACTGTTGAGTGCCTACTCCATGCCAACCAGTGTGCTAAGTGCTGGGAAGACAAAGGCATAGTTCCTGCTCTTGAGTAGTTAGCTATCCATTGGGGCCAGTTGCCCAAAGCACATAATTCCAGCCTGCTGTGTGCTAACAGAGAAGATTCATGTGGGGTGATCAGGGCAGGCATTTTGGAGACACCGTTCCTGAGCTGAGTTGTAGGTGAGTCAGAGTTGTCTAGGTAAGAAAAGATGGACGTGAAGCACAAGTTTCCTCCTTGAGGAAAACGAACTGATTTTGGAAAAGAGGGCAAGGTATGTTTGCCTGTCTCCCGACTCATGTCCAGCTCTGTAGCTCTAAAAACGAATTGTTGGGAAGGTTAGTGGAAAGAAAGCCAGCCTAGCAAATCAGACTGTTCCCCCGTGCGTAGAAATCCTATTTCTCTGAACGGGTGTGCCTTGTCCTTCAAAAGGCCCAGGACAGTTTTCAAGTGAGTAGCTTTTGCTGATAAGATCGCCAACCTTGCCAGTGAAAGGGAAGCTGGGTACAGTGAGTGGTGAGAGCTGCCGTGCTCACACTGCCGCCTGGTCTCTGAGGAGGGTGCTGTGTGGTGTTGTGACTGCCAGCATTCCGGAGATGTTCCCTCTGGCATGGCAGGACAGGGCGTACTTGTCTGCGGTGGGCGGCTGGCCAGGAATTTCAGGACTTCTAAAAGAGTGCTGTGGTGTTTAGGATATTCTTTTAAAAGCCCTTCCTATTGCGTTTACTTCTCTCCATGTATCCTTTTTTATCGTATCTGTTAATTTTGTCCTTTCTCCTCAACATACCTGCTCAGTTTCTGAGATTACGGCTAATCCAGGCAGCTGTGAGGCCCAGAGGTTGAGGAAGGCTTCGGGGAAGAGGGGATGCCAAGAGACGGGAGGTTGAGCTTGACAGATGGTGCACTAAAGGTGCCCCCTCTCATCCAGAGGGGGCTGCGGCCCACTGGGCTGGCAGACACGCCCGAGGAGGCATCGTGTCCACCAGCTGCATCCCTTTCCCCACTGCGACAAGATGGCCCTGTGTGCACACAGACTGTGGAGCCTTGTGAGACCCTCTTCTTCTTTTCTACCCCAAGCTGTTTTTC